GTTGGCATCTAGTGGGCAGGGCCTGGGGTTTCTCCTAGACATCCTACAGTGCCCAGAATGGCCCCTCACCACAGAGAATGACCTGGTCCAAAGTGTCCATAGTGCCGAGCTTGAGAGACCCTGCTCTCAACTGATGTTCCTTTCCTAGTTTTGCCGCGGAGCCAGTGTACACACTGGTGACGCGCTTTTTCCTTCTTTCTCCGTCCCCCCTCCCCCCTCAACTGCTTTTCAGATTGAGAGCGGGCTCTGCATCTGTGCGGCCATGCCCAACAAAGTTGTCATTCTCCGCTACAACGAAAACCTCAGCAAGTACTGCATTCGGAAAGTAAGTCCCGGGCCTGGCCGGGCCTGCTCTCCCAGCGAGCAGGTGGGGAAGGTGCTGTCTCGGGGCGTAGTGTGTGCCTGGGCCCTTCGGCCTGGGTGACTTAGAGAGAGCGGGAGGGTGTCTTGCTCCCTGGAGAAAGCTCCAGAGCGGCCCATCCTTACACTTTTCCCTCTCGCTCTCCTCCCCTGCATGTGTGAGCTGCCTCTCTGGCCAGCCCAGTGAATTCAGCCTTTTGTGAAGGGAGAAAGGAAGGTGGCTGATGGAGACACCTCTTTTGAACCAGTAGAAGAAAGAAAGATCTCTCTGAGGAGCTAGAAGCCCTGGTGGCACCTACCAGAATCCTTCGCAGATTGTAAAAGTTTCTATTAATGACCTTCAAAAAAACCAGTGCTGGCTGTGTTTTGATACACAGTGCGGGAGCTGGCTCTCCTCGAAGCACAGTGGGTTGTGATGTTGCCTGTGGTGTGGACAGCTATCCGTGAGATCACTGCACTTGCCTTGCTTCTGGAGAAGGCTGTCTCTTGTCCCTAGACTAGGCATGTTCCGCCCATCCTAAGCCTGATGTATTTCAGGTGCTTTCGTGATTAGTCTCAAAAGTAAAAGGAGGGATGAATATATAAGGGTTGTTACCTGTTAGAGAAACTGTTTCATCTGGGGCGGGCTCTTGTTTAGTTTGCATTTTTATTGAGCACCTATTAGTACCAGAGACTGAGCTGGCTGTTTCACACACTTTTCACAACAGTTGTGAGAAACAGGGGTGATCATCTCTAATTTTCAGGTAAGATGACTGAGGCTGGCCAAGATCCTAGGTTACAAAGTTGAGACCCAAACTGAAGTTTGACTTTCCCTAACGTTTCACTGTGTTATACTAGTTTCCTCATACTTAGTAGGTGATCAATAAATATTTAGTGGTGAGGATCATGCTGATTAGAGTTTGAACTGTTAACTTCAGGAAAATTCCCAGAAATCACTTCTTCTTTATAATTCCTGGCCATCATTTGGAATAAGCATGCCTAGGTTTTTGAAGCCATTAGGATTGACCTGAAAACAAGTGTAAGTAATTAGGAAGCAGATAATTCAGATAGATAACTATATCTCATCTATATATACCTATATATAGGTAATATAGGTTCAGAATAGAAACCTAGAAGCTTGGAAAAGGAAACTAAAACCACTCCCTCTAACCACCACTGTTTGTGTATTCCTCCAGGCTTTTTCTTCTGATCAGAATGTCGTAGTTTTAAAGCTCTCTTTTTGAATGCTACCTTTTCATTGAAATGGTGTTTCTGACCCTTTTTTGGGGTGCAACTTGACCTTCTTAGTCTCAGGTTGCATAGAACCCAGAGGCAGCAGAAGGATGGGGCGTCCTTGTGAGGGACGTGAAGAGACTGAATGTGCTTGGCGTGAAGACAGAAGGAAGAAGTCGCGCGGCAACGCCTGCACGGCTTGGTTAGATGCCCGAGGAGAGCAGGGGCCACCCCAAGTCTACGCTCACATCCTCCTTTCTGCCCCGTCTCAGGAGATCGAGACCTCGGAGCCCTGCAGCTGTGTCCACTTCACCAACTACAGCATCCTCATCGGAACCAATAAATTCTACGAGATTGACATGAAGCAGTACACGCTGGAGGGTAGGCCCGGGCGCGCCCCCGCCCACGCTCTGCTGCCACCTCAGGCTCCTTCTGGGTCCTGAGGCCCCGCCTCTTGCCTGCCTTTACAGAATTCCTGGATAAGAACGACCATTCCTTGGCGCCTGCCGTGTTTGCCTCCTCTTCCCACAGTTTCCCCGTGTCCATCATGCAGGTGAACGGCGCGGGGCAGCGGGAGGAGTTCCTGCTCTGCTTCCATGGTGAGTGCGGCAGCTGCCCGCTGCTGATGGGGGCGCTCACGGCACCACAGCCCCGGGGCAGGGTCCTCGGGGCCGGGCGTGGCCAGTGTGCCTGGGGCGGGGCCGGTCCTGCTGCGGGGAGGGGAGTACCCGGTCCTGCACCGCCAGGGCCCCCGGGGTGCCCCGCCCCACCCCCAGGCTCCAGCCAGGTCCGGCGCTGTCGGGTCTCTCCAAAAGCGGCCTGCTCTGTCCTTCTCTGCCCCTCACTCCCTTCTCTCCCTCTCCTCTCTCCCTTTCCTTCTTTTCCCTCCTCAGATCTCTGGGCCTGTTTCTCCCCCTTCCTCACTCCCTGACTCTTCCTCCTTCCGTCTCCCCCTTCTTTTCCCATCTCCCCCCTTTCACTCGAACCCTCTTTCTTTAATAAATCCCCGAGAGACGTGGCTCAGCAGAGCTCCTGAGGTTTTTCACAATCCAAGCCCGCTGGGCTGGATTCCTTACTCTTCCATCAGTGTGTGTCATTGATACCCCTGCCTCCGGCCGTGCTCATGCCCCGGGCTCTACCTCCTTGCAGAGTTTGGGGTGTTCGTGGATTCTTACGGAAGACGCAGCCGCACAGATGATCTCAAGTGGAGTCGCTTACCTTTGGCCTTCGGTAGGTGAGGCGAGGTGTGGGGCTCTTTTCTGCCAGTAGTTGGTGTCCCGGGAAAAAACCTCAGGTGGAATTCCTTTAGGCTTAAGCACTGTGCTTGGGGCCCCCTTAGGCGCCAGGCGCCACGTGGAGCATCACCCGCGTTAAGCATCTAGGGCAGAGACCCCGAGGCCTGACGCCGAACCACGTAAGGCAAACCCACCGGCCTCTCATGCCAGAAAGGGAGACCATTCCCTGTGAGTTCATTTAAATCATGTCAAAGACTGCACAGCATCCCATAGCACCGCTGAACACCTGTCAATTTAGCCAATTCTAATTAGGCCCATTCTTTTTGTAAGTGTGAACAATGCTGTGATGAAAAACTTACCCTAAAATTTGCACACTTGTTAAATATCCCCAGCTCAGAAATTCTAAAAGTGGAGCTACTGGGTCAAAGGGTGAACACACACACACACACACACACAACATACATATGTGACTGTGTGAATGCTCTGAAATACCCTTCCAGGCTATTTCGTTTATCTGTTGCTTCATGACAAGTTCCAAAACCTAGTGACTTAAAACAACTACTTATCATTGCCTGAGCCTCTGTGGCCTGACTGGACAGTTTTGCTTCTTGCGGTGTCAGCAGGGGCACCGGGACACCTAGAAAGTCGGAAATGGCTTCACAAAGTGGCTGGCAATTGGAGCTGGCCGTCAGGTGGGAGCTTAGCAGGGGCCGGTGGCTGGAGGCCTCATTTCTCTCCACGTGGGCTTCTCCTAAGAGTGCAAAAGTGGAGGCCGGCAGGCCTTCTCACTTCCACCACATTCTGCTGGTTCAGCCTGATGCCAGGCAAGGAGAGGCCACAAGGGCCTGAGTACTAGGAGGCACGACTGATGCCGAAGTAACAGTTCACCGCAAGGAGTAATAGTGATAATCTTCTTTTTCCCTTTAAGACCAAAAACAGCTCTCATTATATCCTAGAGTTTGAGTGACACTGTGATATAGAAATATAGTACTAAGACCAGAAATATTTAATCTATGAACCTAGTCTTTTTTAATTAAATTTTTTAGAAAAATGTATTCAATTAAACAGTTTAAAAAGGTCTACAATGAAGTCTCACCCGTATCACCTGTCTCCCAAATCCTCCCTCCCCACTCCCCGAATGGAAAACATTTTTCTGAGTTTCTTATCCTTCCAGTGCTTTATGCAAATAACGGGCACATTAAAATATATTCTCATCCCCCTCCCTTTTTAAAAAGTCAGTGTGGTAGCACACTTTACACAGTATTCTGAACCCTGCTTTACAAACTAAGTAAAACTACACCTTGGGTTTTTTCCCCATCAGTGCATAGAGAGCTGCCTTACGCATTTTTACGCCTGTGCGGAATTCCAGGGATGCGCCATGATTTACGTAACTGATCCCGACCATGTAGCCTTAAGTCGGTTCCCATCTTCCACGCTAACAGCGTGGCAGGGGGCACACTTGAACATGTCTCATTATGCAGGCATGTGGGTGCACGTGTAGGGTAAATTGCTTCAGGGATGGCATGGCAGCCAGGTTTTGATTTTCTGTCTCTTAACCCTCCCTTGCCCCACGCTCTTGCTCGGTGGTGGCCACGCAGCCTACAGAGAACCTTATCTGTTTGTGACCCACTTCAACTCACTCGAAGTAATTGAGATCCAGGCCCGCTCCTCTCTAGGGTAAGCACTGCCCCCCAGGCTTTGAAAAGCTCACGGTTGGGTGTGGGTGTCGGGCGGGGCCGTGCTCCCTCTCATCCCGCCTAGCAGTGGAGGTGGCAGGCCATGCAGACTCTCCTGGAACTCCACAGGACCCCTGCCCGAGCGTACTTGGAAATCCCGAACCCACGCTACCTGGGCCCTGCAATTTCCTCGGGAGCGATTTACCTGGCGTCCTCGTATCAGGATAAATTAAGGGTCATCTGCTGCAAAGGAAACCTCGTGAAGGAGACCGGCACTGACCAGCACCGAGGCCCGTCCACCTCCCGCAGGTAACGCCCCTCTCTTCCTCATCACAGGGGGCAAAGTGCTTTCCTGCAAAGCAGAAGGATATCTTGCCAAACTGGCTGAAAGTTTCCCAATCTTCAAAGCTCAAGCCACTCATTTCTTTGGGATCTGCGGCACTGAAATGGGTCCTTTATAAGCATCAGGAAAATTTTTACTGCCCCCCCTTGGTAAAAGAAGAAATGAGGCCTTGAGTATGGGCTATATACTTTATTTATTTACTCTTGCTTGGAATGTCTTGTACGTTTTTTCTTGTTGAAAACTGAACATTTCAAATAATACAACGTGGCAAATCAGCTCCCCCTTCCCCTCCCTGGGCGTGTTGTTGTCGCTATTGGTTTAGTGTCTCTTGTACTAAATCTGTAGTCTGTGTCCTTTGTTATGTGCAGCCATTGAAGTTTCTGCTTGGTTAGGGTAGTGGTCAGCTGAATGACTAGAAAGAGATTTCCTTAAATGCACCGAACCCGCCCTTTGCTGAGCGACTGTGTGTATTTATGCTGGGGCACACCTGCAGCACTCAGAGTCAGCTGTGGCTGACGGACGAGGCCTTGGAAGGTTTTTCCTGGGTATGTGACAGGCTTACCTGTGTGTGTCTGGCCTTACAGATCCCCAGGAATATGCAGGACTTCCTTTTGAGTGTTGTAGCTGGCCTCTTGTTTTTCCCAACTGGTCTTACTGCCTCAGGCATTTGCCATGTGAAACAGTAGCCATTGATTTTTTTTTTTTTTTGGTAAACGTCTAGAGATAGGGCATTTCTAGAGAGGAAGACCTGAATCAGCTCAATTAAAAACAAGCCCTGAGGATGGTCTTTTTTCCAGGGAGGAGCCAGATAGGTCAGATAGTGACAGTTTTCCAAGGCTGGGGCTCTTGGGAAGCTCCAGTCCTAATGTACTCCCTCCAGTGGTTACCAGGGTGCTGGTTTTCACAGCTGGTTACAAGGCTGTTGCTTTCAAAACTACTGCAGATCTGGGGAGACAGGGGTGGTGAATATTGCACATTTTCTTGCATAAACACTCTCTGAATTGTTGCAAGACTTTGGTTAATTTCCAGAGTTCCAAAAAGTTGATTTTGACAATTTTGCCAGTGTTCTTGTTGTTTCTATGGAGAAGCAGGTTTTCGGGAGTCCTTGCTCGGCCATTCTGGAAGTGCTCTTCCCCTTCTTCTCAATACAGGCGATAGCGTACTGTGCACACTCTTCTGTGTCTTAGAGATCTGCTCCACGTCAGTATCCGAAGTATTTCTTCATTCTTTTTTTTTACGCCTGCATAGCATTCGTTCACCTGCCTGTACCTTATTTAACTGCTCCTTTATCACTGGGTGTTTGGGTTGTTTCCAGTCTGTTGCTGTAGTAAATGACTTTGTACATTCGTTTTGCATGCTTAGGAATCTATCTGGAGGATGAATTCCTACAAAAGAAATTGATGGGCGTTGGTAGTTTTGATAGATGTTGGTGAGTTTTCCTCCTTAGGGGCTCTACCCTTTAGTTATCCCACCAGCAGTGTGTGGAAGTGGAACTGGCTTTGTCTTGACACCCAGGGCTCGGAGCCAGATTCGGTTCGATGTGTAGGTTTGAGATGTGTAATTTTAAGATCCTGGTCCACAAAGGAGATAAGCTTATTTAACCCAGGGGAATATTTAACTGACCTAGGGTTTTAATTTTGCGGACTGGTTTACAAACCCCACATGTCTACCCTATTATAGAGAGTTATGTGGACCCCCTACCATGTGCCAGACACAATGTCTGGGGCTACACAGCTGAAGACAAGATGGTTTTTATTCTCAAGGGACTCAGTTTGGTGGAGGAACCACCTTTAATGTTATGAAATGCTGCTTAGATCTTAGAAAAGAGTCGTCAATTTAATGCTCTGAGACTATGTCCTGACGACTAGTGTCTGTTTCTTTTGTTGAAATGTAAGTGTTGGTCAGAAATGTTTGGTCAGTGTGATTTTAGTCCCAGGAACTTGCTGGAAAACCAGAAGTGCTGAATAACCAGCTGCTTCTCACTCTTTTTGGCTTGATCGTGCCTCAGGAGAGACTGCTCAAAGGGCTGTAGTCCTCTCCTGACAATGTCTAGATTTTATTTAGTTTCCAAGTCAGTCATGCCAAGAGCCAACCCAAGTACTGTAATTAGATTTTTCTTCTTTTCTCCACTGCCTCACTAGTTAGTTAGATGGCCAGGCACCTTCCTTTTGAGATGATATGGTGTCTCTGTAAGGAGTTAACTTCCTCTGTCGTGGAAAATGGTTCTAGTTCCTGTGAACAAGGGGCAGAAATAATGCTGCTGCTGTTCCTGCTGCTGCCGGGCATGTCTGGAGAACCAGCAGTTTCCTTTAGTTGCCTCTTGGCTTATAAAACCGTCTTTTTGCTGCTGTCTGCTTTGGGCAGGTCCAGAATGGAGAAGGCCAGCTTGGGAGAATGTGATTCACTGCAGGCTGCACCGCCCCCAGGTCTGTTTAGCAGAGCAGGAAATGTAACTCTTTGCAAGTAGAGCATTGGTTATTAAGGGATTTGGAGATGGAAAATGGCCCGCTCCGCCCAGAATGACGAGTGTTTTCCTTTATCCCATCAACCTAGGCTGACTTCCCGAATGGCCTTCCTTGAGCCACTTGTCTTCCTCTGGGCAGTGAGCTTGCTTTACGATGGGCCCCTGACACGCTTTATAATTTCTCTTCCATTACAAATCAGATACTCTTACTGGAAATTTCTTCTTTTGTCTTCTATATCACAAAGCCACAGGACAAGAGATGACGATAGCTCAGATTTCGACGTCTTGAAATCAAGGTTTATCTCAGATTTTACTGCTGCACACACAAGAAGGTTCTGGCTTTCTGAGCGTGGGTTGTTGGAATTTCCACATTTTCAGCTGCACAGGGAAGCAAGAGAATGAAATTATTTATAATGGACTGACCATTTAAGACAGTTACTCTGCTCTGTCCACCAATCTATTTTACCGAAGAGAAGGAACTGGCACACTTCTCCTGTAAAGGTCCAGAGAGTAAATGTTTTCACATTTGCTGGCCACATGGCCCCTGTCTCATTTGCTCAACTTTGTTGTTGGACCACAGAAACCGGATGGGCGTGGCCATGCTCCAGTAAAACTTAAATAAAAGCAGGCATCTGTCTGGATTTGGCCCTCAAACTTGCTCTAGAGTCCCCCCTCCCCCACTGGGTCAGTGTCTTCGCTGCTCAGTTGCTTTCCATTATGGGCACTGACAAAAGATTCCTTACAGTTAGGCCAATAATTAAAAAAAGTTTGGTCCCTTCCAAAGGGGAAGGATTTAAATATCAAGGATTAAGAGAGGCCTCTGGGAAAACCAGTGGCACTGTCTAATATTTAACTAACGACTTCACGATTTTGCTGCAAAAATTACAACACTGCTGGTGAAGGATGTCACCCAGCATGTTAGCATAGAATTTTGTTGAGAAAATTAGAGCAGAATAAATCAGTGTGGGATTCATCCTTGGTTCATTCTTAGCATGTAACTGCAGTTGTAATTTAGATTTTAAAATATCTAGGTTAAAATATATTTCCCTGATTTCTACTTTTCCAAGATAAAGCCCCAATCAATCAGATGTCTTCAAGCAACCTTCTCTGTGAAATAGTCTGCCTTTTCCCCGCACTAATTATGCTCAGATAACAAGGGCCTGAGTACCTTGGCTGTTCGTCAGGGTTGGGAAGGAACTGACGCCGAAGGCTGTGTCAGTCCTGTGTTTCTGGATCTTCTTCAGAGAGGTGGTTAGGGCCGTGTCTGGTCAGATCTTCATCTGACATACCCAGGGCTGGGTGGAGGGTTAGATTGGTCATACAAATTGTTCAGACATTTTCTGAGCCAGCTCTACTGTTTTCGTCTGCCCTCCTCAGTCTCCTAATTATATCAGGCCCGATCCCTACACCTCTGGCGTCAGATGCCCCAAACACTCTTGGAAAGCCACTTGGAAGGAGAGGTGACCCAACAAAGGCCCAGGAGTGGGGCTGCTTTGGCAGCTTGACAGCGATGAGTACAGGCTTAACCCCTCAAGGAAGACTTCCTCCTGTGCCCTCTAGGCCCTGGAAAATACTAGGGTCAGCGGGGTAGAATATGGGGAGTACGACGTCGCACTGACCTGCACTGGAATCGCAGCCTCTCTGTGTCTCCAGCTTCTTGTCTGTACGACGAGGGTCACGGCCGTTCCTAGCTTGCAGAGCTGCTGTTAGGGTGATCTGGCGAGTTAAGGTACCTGAAGAGCTTAGCACAGGGCCCGACACGCTATGGGCGCTCAGCAGAAAGCCTGTGTCGAGACCGGGAAGCCTGATTCCCCTCTGCTGTCACTGCTGCCTTCTTTCCCTGGCCTCACTGTCGACATAAGCGTCTCGAAGAATTCCCGGTGGGGTCTTTTTCTAATAACGCGCGGTGAGATGGGGTCACAGGGTGGCCCAGAGGAGAAGGAAGCTGCCCCGTTGGGTTGTGATGGCTCAGCTCCCCACCTTCCTCTCCCGTTATCGCAGCCCCAACAAGCGAGGCCCGCCGACGTACAACGAGCACATCACCAAGCGCGTGGCCTCCAGCCCGGCGCCCCCCGAAGGCCCCAGCCACCCGCGAGAGCCCGGCACGCCCCACCGCTACCGCGAGGGGCGGACGGAGCTGCGCAGGGACAAGTCTCCGGGCCGTCCCCTGGAGCGGGAGAAGTCCCCCGGCCGGATGCTCAGCACACGCAGGGAGCGCTCCCCCGGGAGGCTGTTTGAGGACGGCAGCAGGGGCCGGCTGCCTGTGGGAGCCGTGAGGACCCCGCTGTCCCAGGTCAACAAGGTGAGTAAGGCGCCCTCCTCATCCCCGAGGGGCCACTGTTGTAGGGAAGGGGCGCCACTACCGTACTTCGGAGTCTGCGGGACTTAACAAGCTTAGGAAGAGAACGTCTTAAGAAGGGGCTTCCTGCTGCGCACATGGATAATGTGTGCACCTCAGACCGTAAAAGCTGCAAGGGCTATGGCATTCCCTTTCCGGAGGCAGCCAGCGTGCAGTTTCTAGAGATCCTCTCTGCATACAAACAAATACGGATGTGTAGTCACCCTTCTTAAACACAGGTGATAACATGCTATTCAAAAGGTTTGATGCCTTACTTTTTCAAACACATATACATCAACAGTTTCTCTGGAAGGCTACACCGAACTGGTAACAGTGGTTGCCTTCTAGAAGAACTCCGAACCTTTCAAAATTTTTAAATCACGTGCATGTATTTATTACCTGTGTAATTTTTAGGTTAGCAACTGAGAAGATGGAGGGACGTGCCGAAGACTAGGGGCCCCCCAAGTGCACGGGGAGGCTCCAGAGCATGGTGTCTCCTCAGCAGGCCAGCCGGTTCCAGGGGCCAGTTTTCTGGATTGCACTCTCCTGCTGCCATCCGCAGTTCACTGTTGGCACCCCTGCCGCTACAGGGAGGGGGGAAAAGCCATTTAAATGCTTTTCCTTATCTCCTCTGATTTATGGATAAAATGGGGTGTGTAACAGTAGAAGTACTTACGTAGTGTTGGGGACTCTGCGGTGAGTTCCGCAAGCTCGGCTCACAGCAGGAAGGCGAGGCCTCGTGCTCCTGCACACCCCAGTCTGGGCTTCCTGTTTGCAAAGTGAGCACAGCGATTTCTGACCTCTGATGGCAAAACCCCCTCCTCCTCCTAGGTCTGGGACCAGTCTTCAGTATAAATCTCAGCCAGAAAGCCCAACTCCTCTTGAACTGCAGGAAAACACCAACCGCACTATGGAACGCTGCTGAAGGGGACCCCAGTGCCCACGGCGCAGCTGGACCCAGACCCGCCTCAGCACGGACACCCTGTAGCCAGGAGGGGCGTGGGGCTCCTGGGAGCTGCCGGCACCCTCCTGCAGTCTACCCTCTTTGCACTTTGTTACTCTTTCAAAGCATTCATAAACTTTTGTACCTAGCTCTAGCCTGTACCAGTTCATCACAGGAAACCAACCGGGGGCTAACTACAACGTGGTTAGAATCCTAATTAATAGCTACTTTAAGATCCTAGGGTTGGTTGGGTTTTTGTTTTCCTGTTTTATTTTTATTTATTTATTTTTTAAAGACAACAGACTTCTTAATAGATTTGAATAGCACCGTATTTCCTGTTGTAGTCGTAGTCATTTGTAGCAGGTCACACAATCAGGTCTTTACTACCGACATGTATCGTAGAAGAGCCCCTGCCACTGGCTAACCTCCCACGCTCACCTAGGTCCACTCTCCTTCCAGTCCATCCTCACAGATGGCCCTGTCTTACCCAGGGTGACATCTTAGCCAAATGTTTACCGTTCTCATTGCCTTTGATGGCCTTGACGACTTCCCCTCCCACCAGCTGTGAATGTACGGAGGCCATCGGGCCCGGCTCAGAGGCAGTGACTTGGGGCCGAGGGGCCACGAGGAGCTTTTCCCTCCCTGCCCCTCAGCGTCACCCACCGGCCTGCTGTCTCCGCTTTCCATGTAGCTCTGGCCAGGAAAGCATGCAACAGACTTGCTCTGAGCCTGGCACCGATGGGGGTCCAGGAGGGGGCCGGGGGCACTCACCTCCTGTCCTGATGGCGCACTCTCCCTGGCTCCCCGGGCTGGGAAGAGCGCCCCAGGACTTCTGCATGGCGGTTCACTGCATGCGCTGCCCCCCGACCTGGCTGCCCCCTTGGGTTGCTCTGCCAATGCACTAGTTCCATCCCACAGCTCCCGCCGAACCGACACCCTCTGGGACTCGCCAACTCACCGGCCACAAGCTGCAGTCTGTAGCACTGAAAAAACAAAAACCAAACGCTCAAGCCTTACGACCAGAGAAGGATTTCAGCAAACCACACCTCACACTTCCACACCTCCCTGCCGATGCCCGCGCGGACAACTCTGCTCACACACAATCCACCAGGTTCTACCCCATGAAAACTGTGACTTCCCAAACGAGCCTCTCCCTAGGGCTAGACTAAGACCAGGAAGTTCGAGAAGGAAGCCGCAGCTCAACTCTCCCATCCCAGCCGGGCGGGGACGCCCTCCTTAGGTGCCGTGCGGCTCACCCAGTTTCTCTCTCCCCTCCGGCGGTGCGAGGTTCCTGGCAACCGGTAAAGAACCAACTAGAGGCTTCGCAGTTGGCAAGCTAACTAGCGGCCTTATTTCTGCCTTTAATCTCCCACCAGGCCTCTCTTGCTTCTCCACACCTCAAACCACCAGGGCACATCCTAGGTAAGCTGACAGGTAGACCTGTTCCCATCGCAGCTGGCAAACGTGACCGCGTTTTAACCCCCGTGTCCACGGTTCAGCTCACTTTCCAGATTGCAACCTGGCCTGAGTCCCGGCTCCTTCCTGCTCGTCTCTTAACCGAAGTGCTTTCTTGTTTGAAACGCCTACGGCCCTTCCTCCACGTTGTCGCATCCTTGGCCAGTGTCATGCTGTAATGTTCTATGTGTTGCTTCGTCTTTGGGGTCACACTGCATCCCCTCCCTCCTCCAGGGCAGATCTGACTGAATGTTTGCTGAAGTTTCTGTCTCTTGGTCCACAAGTATTTGGAGAGGTCACTGGAAATTGGTGTTTTAGTCTTGGCATCTCATTTAGGATCTCCATGAGAAATGGGCTTCTTAGCCCTCAAAGTGTGTATCGTGTGTCTCATTTGTGAAATGCTTCCTGCTATAGAACTAGCTCAAAGACTGTACATATTTACAAGAAACTTTATATTCGTAAAAAAAAAGAAAAAGGAAATTGAATTGGTTTCTACTTTTTTATTGTAAAAGGTGCATTTTTCAACTCTTACTTTTGGTTTCAACGGTGGTAGTTGTGGACAGCCATCTTCACTGGAGTGCGGGGAGCTCCGTGTGACTACGGAGATGCCAGCAGGAAATACCGTAACACGAAACTGCAAAGCTTACTAGCATAAATAAGATTCTAGGTCCAAAAGTACAGGCTTTTTCTTCATTACCTTTTTTATTCAGAATGAGGAAAAGATCACAAGGAACGGTTCAAGATCCACCTTGAGAGGAATGAACTCTGTTGAACAAATAGTCAAATAAAGCAATGATCTAAAATGTTTGCCTTAGTGCAAGACGTCTTCTTTTCTTAAGAGAGCCCATAAAAAGCCGAAGTATCACCACTGTCAGCCTAAGCTTGGGAGCGTGGCATTGGGACCGTCCTTCCCTTCAGGGGAGGCTTCTTCTGGGGGTGAGGGGTGGAGAGCCACAACCGGGCTCAGAGCAAGCTGCTCTCCTGGAATCAAGAGACCAGCGACGTTCTCTTCCAGAAGTGCGATGTTGTCGAACTTTGGTCATTCCTTCCAATGAACCATGAACTGGCTGTTAAGGTCACTTTATAGGACTGCAGAACTGCAAAGCTCCTCACGGCAGTCAGGCCACTCTGAAAGGATTACTGGAGAACGGACTACCCAGCTCTCCTATAATGCAGTTCATAACAAACAAACCAAAAAAACAGGTCACCTTTCAATTCCTCTCATCCATTAGGATAACGCCACTGCTTTTAATGATGTAGATTTCTGGAGGGAGGAATTCGGATCAAGGTAATTTAAAATGTAGATACTTGTCTTTTTAACTAAATGAATTTTTGTAGTCTGCAAGGTAAATTTTTCTAAGATGCTTTAGTTTTGTCAGTCTAAACTTTGTTGAGCTAGACAAACATTGGTTTTGGCAAACGGTAATTTTCTCATGGTTCCTGTTGCTTTCAATTTTTATTTTCCAATGAAGTAATCTGACCACAGTCAAATTCTGACTTGCAGGGTCGCAGCCGACTTGCCCTGTGACAGGAGTCGTACTTGCGATTCTATTCTGTTCCTCCTTTCTCTTTTACCGCTGGGGATAAAAATCTGCCAACTCTAAGAAAGAAAATAATTTCGAAGATGAACAAGTCAAATGTTGGAACCTTTCTTTCCTTATAAAATTAGAAAAAGTCCACTGAATACCGCTTCAGTTATTGTCCTGAGGAATCTTGGCAGCCACGTTAACACTTCAAAAGCATAAGTAAATGTGGTTTGGTTCCGAGAGGAATGTGCCAGAAAGTTCTCTGGACCCTAAGCAAGGACCTCAAAGAAGCAACAAATTACTCAGCCACACCATAAACTGAGGCCCGGCCGTCCATGCTGCTATTCCTACCTCTTAAGCACAAAATTAGCCATCACATTTTCTGCTCTTACAACTTAATTTTCATGAGACTGAAGCAGCAGCTTGCAAAGCAAATTTCGTAACTGAAATTAGGATTTGGAGACTTGGGCCAAAAAGGGATGATGTGCTTAACAGGACTGACCAGCTAGTTTGTCTTCAGAATTGGGCCTCTTGAACGTGATTTGCTTTAGAAAATATTCATGCAGGTTTAAGTCTAAAGCAATAATGCTAGGAGGCCCACAGGGGTGGGACCAGCTAAGCTTTTGGTCTCACAATACAACAGACTGGCCTGCTCCAGTGGTTCTAAACTAGGGGTGACTTGGCTCCCTTCCCTTGAGGACACTTGACAGTATCTGGAGACATTTTTGGTTGTCACAACTGATGGTACTACTGGCACCTCATGGGTAGGGGCCAGGGATGCTGCTAAATACCCTAACAAGGCACAGGGTGGCCCGCATGCCCACCTTCCACAAAGTTACCAGAGGCCCAAATGTCAACAGTGCTGAGGCTGAGGAAGCCCGGCCTGTTCCAGTCAGCTTGGTTTCTTGGCAGTTTAAATGTTGCTCATGATGCCAAAAGCATGGAGACTGGGGCTCTAGGCACAGTGTTTATATGAGAAAATGTTTCATCAGTTGCCTGGTCAAACGTTGAGGCTTTTATCTTCCAAAGCTGGGAGGGCAGGGCAGTGGACATCTGGAACTGCACAGATGGCTTGGCTTTCTCTCGAGTCTGTCAATGATTAACGGAACTCCTGTTTGCCCTGGAGGGGTTGTTAGAGGTAAAGAACTCTGGAAATTACTTTACTGCTATACACAACTCAGCCTGTCCTTTCAGAGAACCACAAAAAGGGAAAATAAAGTCGATCCAGGGTACACACAACTGGAGCTGTCTCTTGTTCTCACTTGCTGTTGAGTCTTGCAGATGAAATGGGTGAATGCACTCCTGGCAGGTAGAGAAGGCTGGCATCTTCACCCAGGCTCAGGCCCTCTGGCTGTCTTTAGGACAAAAAAAGACGAGGCGGTTGTGGGAGCTGAGCTCAGTGGCTGATCCCAGAGGCAGGGCACTGGTTCTCCAAGGGTCTGACTCACAGCAGCGGTCACTCTTAGGAAGGCCCTTGTCGATGTTTTTACAATTAGCTGGAATGACTTGTACATATGTTTGTAGCTTACTGTTTTCTCCTGAAGACAATTATAATTGGCATCCCAGGGTAGAAGGCTCTAGCTTCTTTTCTCCACTAATTTGCTGATCAGGTGAGGTGCTAAAAAGCTGGATGGAGGGTTGAGTGGCCCAGAGACTTGGGTCTTCATCAGTGCACTCAAACTGTGTAAACACTGGTGGAGGGTCATGTATCAGGAGAATTGAGTTCACGCTCAGAAATGAAATCATGCTCATCAAAAGTAACTGAGTTAAGCAAAATGAAATGTTGCTTCTCCCTAAAATGGTTGACTCTCTGACCTTAGCCACGCATGGCATCACTTTGGTGTTCTGTGTTTTCCCATCTTGGCCCTTGGCACCTTGGAGGTTTCCTCACTGAGCTTACAGTGCCGGCACTTTTTCCTTTTCTGGCCCTTGACTTCCTGTCTGTGGCCATATCCCATTCATGGTGTAAAAGCTTTGTGGCTCCCAATGTGAAGTGAAAGGAGCCCTAGGAATCATTTAGTGCTAACCCAACCCCTTCCATTTTTCAGGAGAGAAAACTGGGCTAAGAGAGGTCATGTGATTTGCCCAAGGTCACACAGCTAGTCAGGCACTGAACTGGATGACATCCCTAATCTCAGTCCAGTGTCCACACTCCGGGACAGCGGCTGGTGGGGGGGGAACGGCCAACTCTAACATGAAGCCAGGCTTTGACCAGAGGGAAGGAAAAGACGTTGCCTGGGTCCTTTGATCTTTGGTTTCAATATGCTGACATATGGTTGTTTACCTTGCAATACTACTTTACCCACTAGTAATTTAAAGACCTTACCTTTGGCTCCATAAATTCATTTGTATATACATTTCTGGAGGAAAAAAATATCTTCATTCAAAAGCAATTTCGGTTACACTTTAACCAACCATGTAACCCAGTCCTCACCCATAATAGAGAAAGCATTACCTGGGTCATAGGACACCTCAGTGTGGCTTTGCTCCTGTGATTTGGACCAAACAGGGTCTCCTGTTCCATATCCATGAAATAATCTCCATTACTTTTAGCTTCTTGGGTATAGAGACTTTCACCTAGGTCTGTTAGCAGTCTTCTGGACCACGGGGGACTTCCTTTTGTGTTGCTTTTTAAAGAAAATGAAGTCTTTTAGACACACGAACAGCTGTGCAGAATGCTGACACCCACGTCCCAGGGTTCTGTGGTTTTGGCTACATTTCCCCACCCTAGCAGTTACTGCCCTGGGAGTCCCCCGTGGCCCCAGGGCTGCAGAGGACTCTTACTGGGTTTACTGGCTCCAAATTAGTTTTTACACTGGATTTTTGGCTTGGCTTTATCTGAACTTTGTGAGTAGAGCTGATCTGCAGGTGAGATTTTCCAACATGATGTTTCCCCCTGCAGCCTGGGGCTGATGACTCCCTCTGAGCCCTGACTCAGGCCAGCAGCTAGATTCTCTAACTCCTCTTACAGAAAAGGCAGTGCTTTTCTGGGCCAACTCATGAAGCGGGCTTCCTATCCAGGTGAGGGTGTCAAACCCTGGTCCTGGAGGCCTATGACTGGGTCCTACCCCCCCACCCCACCCTCTGAGTCTCCACCATGGGGCCAGGGGCCACGCTCACAGCTCACCAACACAGCAACGGTTTCTTCAATTCTGGTACTTCAATATATCCCTTTTATACTTTAGAGCTTAGCTATGTATTTTCAATTATACTTCAAAAATATTTGATCCACAAAAATAAACTCAAAATGGTTTAAAGACCCATGTAAGACATGACACCGTAAAACTCCTAGAAGAGAACACAGGCGAGACACTGACATAAATCACAGCAGTATTTTCAGTCTCCCAAGGCAAAAGAAATAAAAGCAAAAATAAACAAATGGGACCTCATTAAACTTAAACTTTTTGCCCAGCAAAGGAAACCATCAACAAAATGAAAAGACAGCCTACAAAATGGGAGAAAATATTTGCAAATGATGCAACCAACAAGGAGTTAATTTCCAAAATATACAAACAACTCATACAACCCAATACCAAAAAACCAAACAACCCAATCAAAAACTAGGCAGAGGACTTGAACAGACATTTTTTTCAAAGATGACACAAGCAAAGATGCTCAACATCGCTAATTATCAGAGAAATGCAAATCCAAACCACAATGAGGTAATACCTCACACAGGTCAGACTGGCTATCATCAAAAAGTCTACAAATAACAAATGCTAGAGAGGGTGTGGAACAAAGGGAACCCTCCTACACGGTTGGTGGGAAGGTAAATTGGTGCAGCCACTGTGGAAAACAATATGGAGGCTCCTCAAAAAAACCTAAGAATAGAACTACCACATGATCTAGCAATTTCACTCCTGGGTATATATCCAGAAAAAAATGAAAACACTAATTTGAAAAGATACACGTACCCCATGTTCACATCAGCCCTACTTACAATAGCCAAGACATGAAAGCAACCCAGGTGTCCATCAACAGACGACTGACTTAAGATGTGGTGTGTATACACATACACACACACACACACACACACACACACAGAGGAATATTACTCAGCCATAAAAATAAATGTTGTCATTTGCAGCACCGTGGATGGACCTAGAAAATATTATGCTTAGTGAAATTAAGTCAGAGAACATAAATACTATATGCTATCACTCATCTGTGGAATCTAAAAATAATACAAATGTATACACAAAACAGAAACAGACAGATACAGAAAATGAAATTATGGTTACCAAAGGGGAGAGGGAGGGGAGGGACAAATCAGGGGCACAGGATTAACAGGTATAAACTACTATACATAAAATAGATAAGCAACAGGGATCTACTGCATAGTACAGGGAATCATACCCAGTATCTTGTAACAACCTACAATGACACACAAGCTACAAAAAATAGTGACTCACTATGCTGTAGACCTGAACCTAACACAATACTGTAAAATCAACTATACTTCAATAATTTTTAAAAAATAGAAAAAAGTTTTGATTCAGTTTTGGATAGAGGATTTTTATGTACTTCCTTAGTCTATTTAAATAATCCCTCCAATCCCTAAATCTAGGGTTCCCACATCACTTGGGTTTTCACAGTGAGACGGCTAATTACCCAGCTAGGAATGCTTTCTAAGCTTTCTCCACCTCAAGTGGACCAGATGACCTGAGGGGTTCCCCTTTCTCTCAAATTTATTTACGTTTCCTGATGCCTGGGAAGAAAAGGCTTATTACTAAAGGGACACTGTAACCTTCCATCTTTTTGGTAGAAGGGACAGAGGCCCTTTTAGCTGGGAGAACAGCTGACTCCAGAACATCCTGGTGTCTTCCAAGAGGGTGTCATGATCCCAGGCTCCCCTGTGGTGCTTGTCAATGAGCAAGAAGCAGCAGGACCTTGGACCGAGGATGCTGCCAACTTGCGCAAGCCAGGGGCCTTCACTGCTGCTTTTCCTCAGCTTCCCCTGTGGTCGAGCGGTTCCATGGGGCTCAATTTTACAGCCTCTTAACGGCCTTTAATCTGTGTGCAGAATAGGTGGGTCAGAGAAAGGCCCTCAGCCCGGGAGGGAGCCGAGCTGCCCTGTCCACTCACCCCAGAGTGCCACAAGGATGGTACCATTTTCAATGTGTGCCAAGGCGGGAAAAAGACTGAAAAGCACTGCACTGAATAAAGCTCGGGGAGAGCTCCAGTCTCTTCTCCAAATGACTGCACGAAATCAAACCTTCCTCCAAGTGCACGTCTGTTATCTTTACAAAGCTTTATTGAAACCTGTACATCAAGGTGACAGTAATTCAGTGTTTTGGAAACAGTAACAAAAAAGGGTATCCCAGACCCAGGTTCGCCAAATAAATATGAGACACCAGGGATATGGTTCCTCCGTCTCCCAGCAGGAACAAAGCGCAGGACGACAGCTTCCACCGACCTGGGGACAGGAACCTTGCTAACGGGCACGTCTCCGGCATCTCCAAGCCGTGTGGAGAGGTTCGCTTTGGTCCAAAGGATGATTTCCTCACACAAATCCAGAAGGCTGCCGCAAGTTCTAATTTCCTTGCAGAATAAGCAACGGCAATTGCTACAGCCTTCTTTGCTAAGGAGGGACCAGAGGTCCCAAGCAAGGTGGCACAGGCTAGGGTAGGGTGCCTCTCCAAAATCTGCGTGCTAACACTGTCACCGCATTACAAATCGAACAAAAAGCTGGACAACCTTCCAGCTAGCAGCGGTCAGTCCGCAGGATCCTCCAGCTTAACGGAGATATCTGGCCATGGTTTTCCAAGTCTGTTCTGAGAACAGATTATTGCTGAGCACAGGTCACATGATCTATAGTCTAGTTGGGGTGATTTAAAAATTGCCCTAAGGCTGTACAGTCAGCCACCTCTGGTTAAAAAAAAAATACTTAGTGCACATAAGTGTAAGAAACAATTGTAAAACTTCATCTGGAAATTAGACAGGTTCTAATTTCTACAGAAATTATACCTCCCTGTAGCAGGGAATGGAAGACGATCTATTGCTCTGAATTCAGAGGAAAGGCAGGACCAATACCATACTCGCCGTTAGGTCCACAGCCAGGCCTCAGCAGGGACAAGTCAAGACACACACACAAGATGAGAAATTCTGTGCGGCCTCGGTACCTGCTTCCCGGATTTCCACCAGCAAAGTGGCTTGGGTTCCTTTTTGGCTTAAGAAAAGTCTCCGTGACCAGTTCAGAGGATGTAAATTTAGACCTGCACCGCCCTCTGCACTGCAGTGTGGGGTGCAGACCGTCTGCTCCCCCTCCCCGCTCAGCCTTGATGAGCCCCAGGGCTCACAGCCACCGCGTGCTAAGAGGACTGTTACAGTCTGAGGCGCTCCAGGAGCTGCTGTGTCTGGAACAAACCTTCAAGTAGGAGTAGAGCGGGTACGAAATGTCTTCTAAAGAGCATGAAATGGGAAATTTACAGTCCATCCTGTCTAGCGAAAAGCATGCACGCGTGGAGCCCGGCGGTGCACACTGCCCCCTGGGGCCCACGGCTGGCCCCAGCTCTTCATATGGGCTTGTATAACAAGGTGGTGACGTATTTTTTCTTGTACCGGTGGGTCGCGCTGAGCACCATCACTCCGTCCTGAGGAAGAGGCGGAAATCACCAAAGGCAGGACTAAGTCAGGAGGCTCAAAGTTTAGGGAGCGTGAGAATCATCAGGAGGCCTGAGTAAAAGCAGGTTCCTGGGCCTCCCTTCGGAAGAGGAGCCTACGGGTCTGGGTCAGGTCCCGGAAGCCGCCCTTCAGGTAAGTATCGATACTGCAGGTAGTGCCGTCGCTAGGGGGCCTCAGAGCACACTTGGGAGAAACAACAGTAAGTAACAAACACGTCCTTACCTTAATGGAAAGTGCATAGAGGTGGTTCAGCATGACGTGGTTGGGCTCAGGGAGCAAAGCTGGATCACACTGCGGGGGAGCAAAAGCAGACGTGTGCACTTCAGATTTGGAAATCAAGATTCTCCCGTGTTTCACGGCACTGGATTTCAGAGGGAAGGAGGCAGGCTCTCAGGCCCCTTTCTTCCTTGTCAGGCAGTGAAAGGGCTTGTGCACGATGACTGGGTGGGCGAGGGGTCATGCATGCCTGGTGCTCCAACTAAGGGGTGCTCTCGGGGTCTGCTGGGCGCACTGGTGTGCATCTCTGGCCAGGCTTCATCTAGATTGTGGGCCGTGGCTCTGTCCTCTCTTTGGAGGAGGGGCAGGAAGAAAGCCGTGCAGTGAAGGGGCTTTTAGCAAAAGCGGGAAGAAATGATCAATACTCAACGCTCCTGAGCATTGTGTTGCAAACTCTTGTCTCTGAGACTCAGACGGGGAGCCTGAAGAATGCACTGGATGACTGGGGGAGGGGAGAGGCGCTCTTACTCCGTAAGAGCTCACATACGAGGCAATGTTGCCACACCTTCCTATTTTTTCAGAGAAGCCAGAAATCCAGGTTTGTTTTTTTTTTTCCCCCAACGTACACTCCCCAATTTTATAAATGCTAATTCAAAACAGAAAAAGCATCCAGTAAAAGCCGGCTCAGCTGTCAGATGTGTGCTTGGGGCGGGGTGGCCCCAAGAACAGCGAGTCCCCGGGGGACACACCGTGACTGCTGCGGGGATGCCTGCACGTGTACACCTCCAGCCCCCTGCTCAGCACACGTGCACCCACTTCTGTGTGGCGTCTAGAGCAGCAGCAGTTACCTGATCACCCTGGAGCGTCTGCCTGTTAGGTGGTGGCCTGGACAAGGCTGAAGAACACCTGGACTCCCAAGAATTATGGCTACGCTGCACAGTCCAGAGCCGGGGAACCAGGCAGCTCAGGTCAAACGGGATGGAAAATCAAACGCGGGGAATAATGGGGTGCTCTTCAGGATTCAGCAGGAAGCACACTTCTTTTTATAAGTAATAACAATTTCCCAGAGGCAATGTGTGTTACCCACATACCCCAAATTTTGATCCATGAGCCCTGAGGTTTCTGAAAGCAATTTGGTGATTAAAACTAGATTCTGGAACTTCCCTGGCAGTTCAGTGGTTAAGACTTCACGCTTCCACTGCAGTGGGTGTGGGTTCGATCCCTGGTTGGGGAACTAAGATCCCATATTCCGAGCGCGGCAAAACAAACAAACAAGATTCTAAAATCTGGGGGCCAGAGGAGGAATTCCACCATGCAGCTTACTGAGAAGAGGCAGTTATGTATTTTGTCATGAAATTTGAGGTGGGAGTGGAACACAAGAGGAAGGGCTCAGAAAGGCTTTGTGGGATGGGGAGGCCCACTCTGGGAACATCTTGTGAGTAGCCCGTTCCCACGTCAGAGGGGGACCCCGGCAGTTAACAC